AATATTACGACCAGAGAAACAGCATAAGTAAAAACTAAAAACACATGATCAAATCATTTACTCCATGTGCCTGAAACCGCATAAGTAAAAACACATAATCAAATCATTTTTACTCCGTATGCCTTCGCAGATCCAATATATCAATAATTGATATTAAGCATCGGGATTATATAGGATTAATGAATTATGAGACGCACGTCGAAATGTACAAAAGGATTGTATTAAAAAAAGGGGAAATTGGCTAGACACCCATTATTTGAAACTTATATAGGTGGAAGTCCATTTCATAAGATGAATATAGGTGTAGGTCCTTTAGTCAATAAAAATAATGTAAATTAATTTAAATTATTAGTATATAGACCTAAATACCCTTAATTAATATTAATATGCAATAATTATTTATGTAAAATAAGGGAACAAATCCCCCATATCACTCTCATCTTTCTCTCACTTATCTCTCCTCACGATTTCATGTATTTTATCTTTCCTCTCTCTTTCTCTCTCCTCTTATTTTTCTGACCTCTTCTTTCTCTCTCTTCTCTTCAAATCTCACCATGTCATTTCTTTCTTTCTTTTTTCTTTGGATTTTTCGAAAAAAAAATTTTATTGTTTTTTTATTGATTGTGTTGTTATATTATTTTAGTAAATAACAAACCCTACCCCAAATAATGCAAACATTAAAACAACAAATATAAATTTGATATTAGTATTAGTTTGAGAAAAATAATATTACAGAATGCAAATATAAAAAGCAAATATTTTCATTTGCAATTTGAACTTGGAATTTACAAGGTGAGTGTAAACACATGAAATCCTTTTATCAACAAACATAGAGTGAAACTGCAAAGTGCAATACATGGAAAACAAAACGAGGTTCGCACGATGATGTGAAGCGGTGTTTCTTTTCTGTAACGGTTAGTGGTTCTTGGGTTTTGACTGCAGTTGGAGTTGATTTTGTTTCCTTCCTTTTGGATGATGTTGAACGGCCATTTAGAGATATCTCCTTTTTTTTGGCTTGGTTGTCTAAAAAGCAAACAAGGAAAGATAATTCATAACGAAGGAATTAACTAAAGAGTGTTATTGCAAATATCAAACATCAATAATTTATGCAAGTGCATACAAGACTTGCAAAATATAAACTGCAAACAAAAAGCATCATATGTAAGTAACACGAAAATTAGCAAAAAAAAAAAACGGTACTTGAAAATAGCAAAGATCATATGCAACTGCAAACAAAGTAAACTGCAAACAAAACGGTACTTAATAAGAAATGTACGCTTTGAATTCCAAGATGCAAACTCATAACAAAAAACAACAACAATACTAAGTACGAAATCATAACAACAAAACTACTAAGTGCAAACTCATAATAAACAAACATTGATTGAAACTACCACTAACGAAACTCCTCAAATAAGCTATGTGCAACTTTAAAATGCAGCCCATGGTTGGTTATTGTAATTTCAATTTACATTTTTTTTTGTTTTTTTTAGTTTATACAAACACAAGCCTGTCTTATGTTCAAAATAGGCTGCCATATGCAATATTAACCCAACTACGTCCGAATCAAAATTTTCAGTAAATGAGTTTTTTGCAAATGAAAAACGAATAAATGGGTTCTTCAAAGTACCAAAAAATAAAAAATCAAAAATTTTATTATTTGAACAAAACCGGTAAAATTTGGAAATCCAAAACGAACATATTGAAATTCAAATTGCACACTCATAACAGATAAATGTAAATAGCAAAGTCAGAACACATAATTAGGTTCTTCAAACGTATTGTTTTAGAATAAACATAACCATAGTCGTAACATACACAAACCCCTCAATTTACCTGATTTCGGGGATTGGAAATCATCGTCATCCTTTGCTGTTAAGGGGGAAAAAACGGTTTCTCAAATTATTATTGAAATATTTGAAATAAATAGCAAACAAACTAAATACAAAAGGATCATTGATTACCACTTAATCGTGTTTTGGCCATCGTATGAACTCCAAACAACAAACCCTAACACCAGCCGTTGATCCCGAGCAACAAACAATTTGTAAACTGCAAACAAAACGAAGTCAAAGTGGGCAACAATAATTTGTAAACTGCAAACAAAACGAAGTAAAACTGCAAACGACAAACACCCAAAACGACCTGGTACCCAAAATGACTTGGTAAAACGACCAAAACCCAAAAATTGAACAGCAAATTGAACAGCAAATCGAAAACTGCAAACGACCAAACCGAAACTGCAAACGACCAAGAACCCAAAAATCGAAAACTTCAAACTGCAGCAAATCGAAAACTGCAAACAACCAAAACACCCAAAACTGCAAACGACCAAGAACCCAAAAATTGAACAGCAAATTGAACAGCAAATCGAAAACTGCAAACGACCAAATCGAAAACTGCGAACGACCAAGAACCCAAAAATCGAAAACTGCAAACAACCAAGAACCAAGAACTGCAGCAAACCCAAAACTGCAAACGACCGAGAACCCAAAAATTGAACAGCAAATCGAACCAAAGACAAAATGCAAACGACCTGGTAAAACTGCAAACGACCAAACACCCAAAACCTCTTGAAGGATTCAAAATTCGTGGTGAGTTTTTCGATTTGAAGAATAAGGGGAGAAATCGAATTCAAGATTTTTGCAATTGGAATTTCGGATTTGCAGTATAATAGGGAGAGAAATGGGGGATTTGATTTTGAAGATATATTTTACCGTATATTACTAGAGATATTGATAGGGGTACTTTTGACAAATTATAAATACAAAAAATTGCTGGAAATTAGAGTTTATTAGATGGATTTTAACACATATAATCTCTTATAGGAGGACCTATAGCAAATTGCCCCTTAAAAAAAATACTCGTATTGAAAACTAATCAGATTTCGTATGCAAAATTTTGAATTTCAATTGTTACCATTTTAATATGGGGCTCATTACAGATAAGCCTAGGTATTTATTCATAAAGAGATTCAGATAAAAAACTTTTTTACCAATAAGTTCACACATGGTCCAGATTTTTGTAAAGGACTAAAATAATCCCTCATACTTTAATATGCTCCAATTTCATCATTAACTTAATTTAACCTCAATTTGACCCCAAATTTCACAAATTATTCAATTTTAACCCAGAGCTTTTTTTTTCAAAAAAAAAAATTCAAAAAAAAAAACATTTTTCCCGCCGGATTCCGGCGTTGACTTTTCAAAAAAAAATCGTTTATTTATTTCTGTAACTTTTTTTTTGTTTAAACAGCAACATTGTTGTGATTGACAGTAATATTAACTATATTACTGTTAAACACAGTAAAATTAACAAAACTACAGTTTAACACAGTAATATTGCTATATTAATCTCTAGCACAGTAATATTAACACAACAAAACTCATTATTATTGTGTAATAGAATAATATTACTATGTTGACTGTTCAACAAATGTAAACATAATAAAAAGCCAAAAGAATTAATATTACTGTGAGTGACAGTAATATTACTATAACAACAGTAATATTACTATAACAACATTAATATTACCGTCAACCACAGTAATATTACAATAATAGACAGTAATATTATTACTTTACTCCGTGAATAACTCAAACAAACAAAAAAAATCCAAACAAAATAATAATATTGATTTGGTTGACAGCAATATTACTATAACAACAGTAATATTACCGTCAACCACAGTAATATTAATGTGTTTACAGTAATATTACAATAATGGACAGTAATATTATTACGTTACTCCGTGAATAACTCAAACAAAACAAAAAACTCAAAAAAATAATAATATTGATGTTGTTTACAGTAATATTATTGTGTTTACACTTATTTTACTGTCAACGACAGTAATATAATTACGTTGACTTGTCAACAAATCAAACAAATAAAAAAATAACAAAAAATAAAAAATAATAATATTACGTTAATTTACTGTCAACGACAGAACAATTACATAAATGTATTGTCAACAGCAGTACAATTACGTTAATTTACTGTCATAGACAGTATAATTACATTAATTTACTATCAGTGACAGCACAATTACGGTCAACGTTTAGCGGCGGGCGTAAAAAAACAAACAAAACAAAAAAAAACAAAAAAAAACTTAAAAAACAGTAAAAAAAAGTCAACGCCGGAAACAGGCGAAAAAATCCGGAAGAAAAGAAAAGAAAAAAAAAAAAAAAAAAGTCAACGCTGGAGACCGGCAAAAAAATCTGAAAGAACGAAAAAAAATTGGAAAGTTAACGCCGGAATCCGGCGGCAAAAAAATTGTTTTTTTTTTTTGTTGAAAACAAAAATTGGGTCAAAATTGAATATTTTGTGAAATTTGGGGTCAAATTGAGGTTAAATTAAGTTAAGGATGAAATTGGAGCATATTAAAGTATGCTCCAATTTTGAAAAGTCAATGCCGGAGACCGGCGTTGACCGCCGGGTAACGCCGGAATCCGGTGGAAATTTTTTTTTTTTAAAAAGTCAAAACTGCATTTTTGTGGTGACAATTGAATTTTTGTGGACAAAATTGATTAAATTAGGGTTACAATTAAGAATTGGGTATAAAGGGTTGAGGGTAATATTGGCATATACTTTATTTATAATAAATGTTAAATGGATGGGATTATTGGTAAACCTAGAATAATAAAGATATTTGGTGGGAGACTTATGCACAAAAACCCCTAGCAAAAATACAATGTCATAGACACTATAAATAGCAACTTGTTTCTTATTCTTCATCACGACGACGACTGCTGCAAACACCTCTAAATTAGACTTCTGTTCTTGTCATTTTTAGATTTTTTTCTACCAAAACGATATAAATTATATAAATTTCAAAAAATAAAAAAAGCTCTGAAACTACAAATAATTTCAGCCACAAACAATTATTTTCCCCTTCACATCTGGTATTACATTTCATCGGTATAGAACAATACTGCAGTTATAGAAACACCAAATCATACAAACCTCTCAATCAGAAGGCCTGTACTGAAAGTAAACGATTTCAATCAAATAAAAGTAAATGGGAATAGTAAGTTAGAAATTCATAAGCACGAAGAAACTATCGAGTAGCTGTGACAGAGCCAGCAATAAAGTAGCATTTAAAATTAGAACCAAAGTATTTACTTGCGAACACAATACCAAAAGAACCAAAAATACTCCAGCAGTTAGTGTTCCTACTATAAACAAAGCCCAGACAGCCATTACTAATCATTAATCTATCCAAGATCTTTCATAACTCTGCCCATACTGACAAAGTGTAGCCGGCCAGAGTTCAAGACAGCGAATAAATAAAGCTAAACCAGATCAGCCACGTTCATTGGCATTTCATCGATTTGTGTACTGTAGTATTGCTCGATATCTCTTAAGATTTTGATGTCATCACTTTTAACAAAACTTATGGCAACACCCTTCCTCCCAAACCGGCCGGATCTTCCAATACGATGGATGTAAAGCTCTCTGTTGTTTGGAAGATCATAATTAATCACCAAAGATACCTGTTGAACATCCAGTCCCCTAGCCCATACATCTGTTGTTATAAGAAGTCTGGTCTGGCCAGAGCGAAATTCTCCCATAATTGCATCTCGCTCCTTTTGTGGCATATCTCCATGCATAGAAGAGACGGTGAAGTTATTCTTACGCATTTGTGCTGCCAGCCAATCCACCTGTCACATACAAAGGGAAGACAGAATCAGTGACGGTAATTGCTATGACTATCATCAATTATTCGAGCACCATAACCCAAAACCCACCTTCAAATGCTAGTAACAAAAGTTATTTTACAGCTTATTTCTTTTAATTCACCAAGTAATAAAGCAGTCCGTCTTCTCCTAATACGGGACATATTCTAAGGTCCTACATGTTTTATTCATATTCTTTAAGTGCAATCTCAATCTACAGTATACTGCATAACTAGTATTACTCCCTGATTAATTTTAGTACATGCGCTGAAATAACGCGCTAAAAAATAATTGAGACCTAGATATCGGAAACCTCAAATTATTGGAAACTATTCGCTTTATTACCAAATCAAAAAGGAAATAAAAATGAGCAATAGAATGAGTATCTAAACTGCACATATAACACCTGAAGCTCACAAGTAATCACTGTCATGTCAGGAAAGATTAAGTTACAGCAGCACATTCAGGATCCTATCAAGAAAGGTTTACCAAATTATTTACCTTCAGCATGTTCAAAAAAGGAAACTATAGAATTACCCTTAACCAGGAAATATTAATAAGATATTGCACGGTTAAAATGTGCTTTAGCAAAGAGGATTGAACATCATCATACTCGATAACCATTAGAAATTGTAAAAACTACGCATCAAAGAATGGAAGCAAGTCAATGAAAGAGTACCATTAGAAATTGTAACAATTACGCATCAAAGAATGTAGAAGCAAGTCAATGAAAGATTACCTTCTGCTTCGTGTTACAGAAGACAACAGCTTGGGTAATTGTGAGGATATCGTATAAATCGCATAAAGTGTCAAATTTCCATTCTTCTCTTTCTACGGCAACAAAAAATTGCCTGATGCCCTGTCATAAAAAAAAAAGATAAAAATCAGTAAACATGGACCAGAACAAAAGATCTGATGCAAAATCCATATCTGAACACTCATGACACTGCCCATGAGAGAAGGTTTTACGATACTTTCTATAACTAACACCTATACTGCAAACGCTACTTAATTAAAGAATGCTATTTACTTATAGGTGTCCCTAAATAGGCTGACAAGATAGTGCATAGTTGCCCATTACACCCATGCTTGCTTCCCGCAACTACTACAATACAATATTAAATAACTATCAAAAATGAAGATAGGCAGAAGAGTACCTCAAGGGTCAGTTCATCACGCTTTACAAGTATCCGAACAGGATCAGTCATGAATTTGCTTGTCATCTCCAATATTTCATTTGGAAGGGTGGCAGAGACCAGGACAACCTACAATAACAAGGCTTTTATTAATTTTAAATGGACAGAACAAGTGTTTTCTTCCTAGTTGAAAATACATCAGAAAATTCAGAAAACAAATCATATGTATTCAGATAAACCATGACATAATTCATACTCATGGCTCCCAACTGCAAAAATAGTATGCTCATAGTGCCTTGAAGTGCATTTTTAAGTAATAGATTTCTCACAACACACACACACACACACACACACACACATATAATATATATATATATATATATATATATATATATATATATATATATATATAGAGAGAGAGAGAGAGAGAGAGAGAGAGAGAGAGAGAGAGATCACCTGAATCTCTGGCGGAAGATATCTGTAAACATCATAAATCTGATCCTTAAACCCTCTGCTCAGCATTTCATCAGACTCATCCTAACAATTTTAAAAGAAATACAGAAATTGTTATAAGCAGAACAACATAATTAAGGTACAAGATGATAATAAAATGACTGGTGCATATATCAAAGCACCATGCACACAAAACTACTCCTAAGAGTCCAAGTGCATCAAATGAGAGAAGAAAATGAAACTCACCAGAATTAATAATTTGATTGATCTAGTTCGTAAAGTTCTCCTCTTGATCATGTCACAAACTCTGCCTGGAGTACCCGATACCACATGAACTCCATGTTCTAATTTTCTTATATCCTCACCCACACTTTTGCCTCCAATACAAGCATGAGATTGTATATTTATATAGTCACCAATTGCCGATATTACTTTCTCTGTCTGAGCAGCCAGCTCTCTTGTAGGTGACAGTATCAAGGCTTGGACCCTAAGTTTAAGATAGATACAAGCAAAGAAAGTATTTCAAAATCAGAATGGGATTTTACGCCGTTTTCCATCGGCTATAGAACTCAAATAACATGCCAAAAGCAATCAAATGATAAGCATAAATGTTGAACGGAAAAAAAAGATACTAATTTGTGATGACTAATAAACTGATTACTAAAATCTAAGCAAATGAGAGTAGTCGGCGTTATCAATGCTCCAAGTGATAGGTAATAGTTAAGCTGAACATATGACTCAACTTGCAAGAGCTCAGTTGTTTCATTTGGCATATAAAAATCCATAATAGTTGGAAGTTTTATTAATATTTGGATGAGGTACCACAGTAAAATTCAGCAATCATAGTGGAAGGGGTTAACTGATTATCTTGACAATTCTTAAAGATGTAAATACAAGTGAAAAACAACTATCTCAAATTCTCAATGACATAGCTATCAAGGGGTGAGGCTGGTTGTAATTGTTGATTCGTATAGTTATGTAAGGAATGTATTCCTAACATCATTAACTGAGTGTGAGCGTTCTTTCCAGACACAATTTTTTTGCTCTTTTCAATGCTAAATATTATGAATTAAATAAATTTAAGATGCACAAATAGAGTTGCATTAAACTAATAAAAAAATAAAAAAAAAAAAGGAGGGGGAAATAAAACCATACTCTGAGGACTTGGTATCGGCAATCTGGCAAACAGCAAGAGCAATCATGGAAGTCTTGCCCGTACCAGACTGCGCCTGAGCAATAACGTCACGGCCAGAGATAATGGGGAGGACAGCGCGCTGCTGAATTGCGGAAGGCTTCTCGAACCCATAGTTGTAGATTTCTCTGAGGAGGCCGTCCTTTATTCCCATCTCGTCGAAGCTCATGATTCGCTCCACGCCTTTCGAAGTCTCAAATACGAGCTTAGCGTCGTCCTCCTCCTCCATAGCTCGCCGCCCTCCTCCTCTCTCAATGCTCGCCGCCGCCATGTTGCTGGCTTAACTTAGAGTCGTCCGAGGCGAGAAAATATCACACGGAAACAAGAGGGTAAAAGAATAAAGCCCTAGGTTGCGAGTTCGAATGTATTTTATATTGAAGTTGCGGGCAAATATACGCTTTACAAGTCCCACCCTTATTATAAGATTACAAAGTAGCAAGGACAAAGGACACTCGTGCGCCATAATTACGGATGGAAATCCGCAAGGGTTGTCGGGCCATGACCCAGAAGCCACCCGTTTGGATAAATAAATGGTTATAGGTCGAGTTATGGGTCTTATTAGAAACGACTCGTATAAATATATTATATTTAATAGTTAATCTATATATATACGAATTAATTTAGGATTCATTCATCAAACTTCTTATAAATATATATTATTTAATAATTAATCTATATATATACAAATTAATTTAGGATTTCATTCATCAAACTTTCAACTTTTATTGTGTCTATTCTCATTTGCCAAATTTTCACCGTTTATTTTTTTTGAATCTTGTTTCTCGTAAGTAATATCTAACTTGTCGACCAACGCTTGCCGTTTTGCCCTTTAAACTTTTTTTATTGTAAAAGTTAAATATAATTAATTATATAATTATATTATTCACTTTATATCACTTGTACAAGTTTTTTAAAATATTGTATTTTAATTTTGAGATTTTTTATTAAAATATACAAGCAAAAGATTATGGAAGTTAATTTTTCTTTTCTAACTTAACGGGTCTAGTGGGTCTGGCGGGTCAGAACCTTTTAATGTGGGTATGGTTGGGGCGGGTCCGGGCTAATTTAAAACGGTTTGGGTTTTATATTATTTTTGCGGGTCGGTTCTTGGGTTTAGATAAACCTGCCCCATAACCGACCCGTTACCATCCCTAGCCATAATTTTGATGGGTAGCAAACTTTAATGGTTTGCGCAAGCACTTTTTTTACCATTATTCCAATATCAAAAGTAAAACTCTCCCAAACTCTTTCAAGCTTTTAAAATTCTTCCTCAGATCTCGACCGAGACAACAACAGATTGGAGGTAATTTCTACAATTTTATGATTGTTTCGTTTCGTAGATTACGACTATGGAAAAAAAATTAAAAGTAACGCGTCCGGTAGATCTCGTGTGATTCTACGCGAGCGCAGTGGAGTTAATCATGTAGAACCATGCGAGTACATGAATGTTTTTTTTTTAAATTGAATAAATGCGTAGTATTTGATTGGAAAAAAAAATTAAAAATTGAGCTCGTGTGTTTCTAAGCAAACAGGGGACTGAGTTCGCGTAAAACCACGCGAGCTCGTTTGACCCAGTTCGCCTACAAGCACACGAGCTCAATTTTTTTTAATATTTTTTTCTTTTTTTCCTGAAAACTTTATGCGACACCAATACACGCGACATTTGCAATAAGTATCCCCAAAACTGCAAGTGTCCCGATATGTAGTATTTTGGGACACTTATCTGTGTCTCGATAGAGGTTTTTTGTTGTAGTGGATGTTGACGATGGGATGGTGGCTAATGAGGTTGATGGCGGCGGTGATGATGAGGAGATGGTTGATGATGGTGAGCCGGCACGTAGAGGTGGTCATGGCGTAAATTTTTCATTTTTGGATGATTCGCCATATTTGGAGGGTTCGTGCGAGGGAGGGCCGAAAATTTTGGAATTTATGCGTTGGTCCAAGTCGCAAATAGTGATATATCCAATATGTAAGTTTGTTTTTAATACGTGTTTTGTATATTTTTACAATATGTATTTTCGCTATCTGATATATGCAATTCAATTTAGAAACGTCGTGCTACTGGTGTTGGGGGTCAGGCACGTGTACGCAGCGAAAAACAAAAAAATATATTTTATTTATATAAACTAGTTTATATAAATAAACACGTGCACATTAAATAACAATTAATTGCGTACCTTTTCGCTTCCAATTACCGACAAACATGCTCGCATTTATAATTAATTTAAATAACATAAATTAAATCATCATAGCATGCTCGCAAAATTAAATCAAATAATAAACATGCTCAACGAATGATTCACATAAACACATAATCGAACATATAGATTCATGTGATTCAATAATCAATTAACATACATTAATCTCAATTAATATAAATTAATTAATATATATATATTAATTAGGGAAAATTATACTTTACTCTTGAAGCGTGAATCGAACGAAGAAACAAGAAAATGGCTATCTGCTCTTCCCACTCCAACTAATCCAACCTCTTTTCTGATCCGAAATTACAGGTCTGCTCCGACTTTAATATGTAAATGGTTATTGACTCGATGCACAGTACATTTTGGCAGATTGTAGATCCATAAGTACAACGAAGAAGAACAAAGGGGAAAGGAAGATGCCGATGCGGCGGCGACTGGCGGCGGCGCAGCGGCTGGTGGCGGAGGTAGGGTTTCGGCTGCAAAGTGGACGGCCGATGGAGGGAGAGAGGCTAGGGTTTCAAGCTTGTTTTTAGTCATTTTTGTGTGTCTTTCACAAGACATATAAATCTTATTTATATGCTCCTTGTGAAAACCCTAACAGGCCTTAAGTTGGGCTAGACCCAACAGCTTAAGTCCACTCTCTTTCTCGGCTCGTTTCTAACAAACGAATGCTCGTAAAGATATAACAATTATATTTTGACAACGACCACAAATTCTCGTCGATACGAGTACCACTTTGCAATTTACCAATTTCCGAAAATGGAAACCTAATTTAGGACTTGCCAAATTGGAAAACTTCCCAAAATAGAAAGTTTACTAAATTTCTGTTGGATTCTTTTCCTCTACTTATTCTCATCCGTAATTAACAATTACGAATGTTGGACTCAATTACATTGACTTCCAATTACACTAAGATTAACTAATTAATCTTTGCTCGTTGCATTAAGGATCTCAAGTACACGAGCAGTGTGACCCTCGATGGTTCAGGTGTAAGCTAGCCGTGGGCCCACAACACATTGTGGTTTAAACTAGTCCCTAGAGTTATAATTAAGATGAATCTATTTCAACTTTAACTACCCAACGAATCAAGATTGGCGTCTAGAAACTACGCGTCATGATTCCCTAGATACAAATGAAGTGCCTACAAGAACCGTGTGATATAGTTAATGTACAGTACGATCCCTTCGATACTATATCCCGATTGAACTAGAGGCATTGGTTCGTCGAGACCTCTTTATGAGTTCAATACCTATGTGGACGTTCTTGATTATATAATTCATTTTTGTTTGACTTAGAGAAACATATTTCTCTAATCATGACACTTTCAGTTGTGGCCACAGACTTCATGGATTATTAATCGCAAGAACACACAGGATATCCATGACTTATCAAGCGATCGAATCCCCTACTACAATGCACATACCTCCCACTAGATTTTGGACTGCACAAACACTGGCCCTTGGAGTGGTCCTCAATGGAACTCAGGGACATGTCACGATACAGCTGGTCCCTCTAATGAAGTCACCGTGATGTCTAGGTCTTAAGGATTAATGGTGTACAACTATATCATAGAAACCTCTACTCGATTATTGGGAACCACTTAGAGATCTCTAGATTGAGGGAGTTCAGTGAACTCATCAACTTATGAGCACCCACTTATGTATGCCGATGTTACAACACCGTTGACTGATGAGACGCAGTACACATACACTAAGTGCTAGTCTCGAATGGGAAATGCCGATATCCTCATTAGTGGCATAACCCGTTGACTAGGAACTATGTTTAACAGTTACTATACTTAAATAAATAATCTCACGATTCTACTAGATGTATTTACAGTAATTAAGTAACTGCAAGGACTACATCTATGCTTATGCAAGGGACGAAGATATAGAATGCAAAGGGGTTTTTTATCATTAATACGAAATAGATTATTTACGAGTAGCGTGAGAAAACACAACAATTAGTTGGCTCTTCGGTCACCTACTCTAACAACTGGACGGGTCGAGTCCAGAAATAAATCACTAGAGACCTATCTCAGTCTGCAGGATGACACGATGATTAGCAGGTTGGAGGCAACCGGGCTTACCACTTACGACATTGTTGGCTCCCCAATATGACAATTCGTGGAGATAGTGGAGCCGTACATGCCAGACCGTGTGTTGCGGCAATTTTGTAGAGTCCAGACGATTTCGTTTCATAGTACCAAATTTGCCAACGATATAGTTCGTCTCATATTTCCGATCGTGTAAGGACAGACTGGGCCTGATACGGCAAAACGATTTATGGCAATCCAACCACAGTTGATTGGTTGATGATGCCCCATGCTCAGTATCTCCATCTCGTACCCGGGAGGGGTCGTGGGGGGCCGATGACTAAGGGTAGGGGATCGAGGGGTAGACAGTAGGATGGTTATGTAATATTATGACTATGGTTTACGAACTATGTTATTTTCCATTTTCATTGGTTCTGTATTAGGATGATGGCACTTGAGTTTTGCAGTTTTATTATGTTGAAAAATTACTCGGTTTTCTATTTTAATTGTGTTGAAATATTACTTGGTTTTGTATTTTAATTATGTTCAAACCACACAATGACTTGGTTTTGCCGGCGGCCGTCCGTAAGATAGCGGCGGCGCGAGCTTATGGTTTCTTATCCGCGCCGCCATCAGGGTTCCCCCCACCTATTATCGTTGGGTTGTTTAGCCATTAAAGTTTCCGCCGCCTTAAGGTTTCCACCACCATATCTCAATTTCATACATTTCATCTTCGACGACGAATAAGGAAGACTCGTGTGGCTTCGTCATTCGTGATGTTTGACGACACAATTCGTCAGATGAGAGCTATAGGATGCGGCGGCCCACGGTGGATTTGGTAAAGGTGATGACGGTGGGTCTGTGAAGAAGAAGCCAATTGGGTTTAATGAACCTTTTGGAAAATTAAACCACCAGTGGTTTCTGTAAATTTCAATTTGACCCCATATTTTGGTTATTCCTGATTTTGGATGGGGTCAATTTGTAATTAAGGAAAATCTGATTAGGGCCCCCTAATACTTCCGAAAAGTACATTTCAGTCCCTAGTTTAAAAGTTTTTCTCAAAATTGTGATATGTTTTCACCCTAAAATTAAGTATCATAAATTCTGATTCAGTCCTTCAAGTTTTGAGATTTTCTTTGGTTTCGGGACAAAGGTCATTTTT